GGCCGCGGGGGCAGGGAAAGGCGGAGGGGGCCCCCTCCCCACGGCAGGTCACGGCCAGGCCCCTCCCCCCGAGAGGCGGCCGCCCGCCTGCAAACACGAGCCAGGGGCTGGTGTCTCCTAGTCCAACAGGTGCCCGGAGCCTGGCCCTGGCCCAGTGCCCAGCTGCGCCGCCCGCCCTGGGAAGCAGAACTGGGCTCTTGGCAGCCCCAGGCGCACGGCGGGGGCAGGACGCGCAGCCCCAGGCAGGCAGGGAGCCTTGCCCCCTCTCCCCCCGAGCGGTGACTGTCCCTGCCCCATCCCGGGTGCCCCCTGGGCTGGGTGATTCCTGGGCAGTACCCAGGGTCTGTTCAGAAGTGTCCTGGGGCCTCAGGGCCCCCTGCGCCCAGCCAGCCCCCCAGCTTCCCCTCCAGAGTGGCCGTGTGGCGGGGGTCTGCCCATGCCCCCTCGTGCTGCGGGCTGGGGCTTGCCCTGGGGCTGCTGCTCCTTGGCGCTGGCTTGGGCCCTGCCTCCGGCCTGGGGCAGCTCCCGGTTTGTTTCCCCCTCGGGCAGCCCATGGCCCACAGCACCTGGTCCCAGAACTGAGACAGGTGCTGGGTCCTGTCCCCCCCCAGCTCAGTCACGGGGGGGCACAGCTGCAGCAGGTCCTGGCCGGTGGCCCTGCCCTGCGGGGGGCCCTGATAGCCACATGGGATCCCGGCCACTCACCCGTGGGCTTGTCCCAAAGGAGCTTTCCCCCCGCCCCCCTCGGGAGCTGTGGCACTGGACTCCCCGACGCAGGAACCGGTTGGGCTGCGCCCACGTCTGGGGTTTCCCTGCGAGAACAGGGGGTAACTTCCCTGACCCCGCGACGAGACCGTCAGCTGAGTTAGGGAAATCTGATCCTGGGATGGACGAGAACACGGGGCTTCCCCCAGCCCAGCCCCCCTCGAGCCTGACCCGCAGCCCCCAGCTAACCCAGCCCTGCCCCCCATCTCCCAGTGCCCCTCACTCCTGACACACAGCCCCCTGCTAGCCCAGCCCCGCCCCCCAACTCTGCCAGCGCCCCTCCCTCTCAACCCACAGTCTCCTGCTAGCCCAGCCCTGCCCCCCAACTCTGCCGGCATCCCTCCTGACCCGCAGCTCCCCCCAGCCCAGCCCCCCATCTCCCAGTGCCCCTCAATCCTGACCCGCAGCCCCCCGCTAGCCCAGCCTTGCCCCCAACTCTGCCGGCGCCCCTCCTGACCCGCAGCCCCCAGCTAACCCAGCCCCCCATCTCCCAGTGCCCCTCACTCCCGACACACAGCCCCCTGCTAGCCCAGCCCTGCCCCCCATCTCCCAGTGCCCCTCACTGCCGACCCGCAGCCCCTGCTATGCTGTTTGCTAGCCGGGCGGATCTCTGCGCTGTGGCTGTGGGGCTGCCGGCCGTTCCTGGGCGAGCCGTGAGGGGTGGGGGGGCTGCCTGCGGCTCTGTGATTTATGCCGCGCGGCCTGGCAATTAGCAGCGCATCCCCGTGGCCGATCCTTAACCCCTGAGCTCTGCGCCGCTGGGCTGACCCCGCGCCCGGGAGCCCCTGGGGGGGATCCGGTTACCCACGCGGGCCTGCGCAGGGCCCAGCCCAGCTGTTGGCCATCGCTCACGCAGACGCAGGCCGGGGGGGGGCAGCCCCAGCCCCAGCCCCAGCCTCGCCCGCTGCTAAGTACCTGGTGAAACGCAGAGCAAAGGGCACAGGGCAAAGCCAGCCAGGACCGCACGGCCTGGCCCTGCGGCACGTGGGGCGACCAGGCTGGGGACTGCCGGCCCCCCCGAACACGGGGATCCCTGCCCGGACCCCCCAGACACAGAGACTCCCAGACCCCCCCCCCCGAACACAGGGATCCCTGCCCGGCCCCCCCAGACATAGAGACTCCCAGATGCCCCCCCCGAACACGGGGATCCCCGCCCGGCCCCCCCAGACACAGAGACTCCCAGATGCCCCCCCGAACACGGGGATCCCCGCCCAGCCCCCCAGACACAGAGACTCCCAGACCCCCCCTGAACATGGGGATCCCCGCCTGGCCCCTCCCACCCCCCAGACCCAGAGACTCCAAGACCCCCTCCACTGAACACGGAGATCCCCACCCAGCCTCCTCCCAGCCCCCTGAACACAGGGATCCCAGCCCAGCCGCCCCCGGATACTCCGAGCCCCCTGCCCGTTTCGCTCAGGAAGGTGCCGGCACCGCTGCAGCATGTCCCCCGGGAGCCGAACTGCCCCGTCAGCCGGGCTGGGCAGCAGGGCAGGGCCTGGGCCGTGGGGGGCGCTGGCAGGCCTGGAGCCCGGGCGAGGGGCCCTTTGCTGTGTCTGTCACCACGGGCTCTGGCTCCTGCAGCCCCGGCCTGTCAGGCGCGGGCGCGGGGCTCCGGCATTACACAGAGCAGAGCAGGAAGCCGGAGCTGGCTGATCCCTCAGTGCATCCCGCGCCCCCCGCACCCCCCACTTATCAGCCCGGCTGGGACGGCCAAGGAGGCTAATTCAAACCAACTGGGCGGCTGACGATGGTAAATGAGCGGCCGGCCTGCGCCGGGACCCAGGGGCAGGAATGCAGCTGGGAACGAGGGTGCGGCTGGCTGGGGGGGCTCCCTGTGCCCGGCCAGCTGTGCCTGACCGCCCCAGGCCCAGCCCTGCCCCCTGCGGAAGGGGAAAGGCTGACCCGGGTTTTGGGTTAGGGGCTGCTCGCCTGGGAGCTAACGTCTTTTCCAGTGCCCGGCTGGGGGATTCACCCGCTCCCTGGGCTGGGGCTCTGGGCAGAGCAGATCTCAGGCCCCCAGCGTCAGTGGGGGAAACTCGGCAGGCGCTGTGCTCCGGGCCCGTGGCTGTGGGGGCAGGGATCTGTGGCCCCTGTCACGAGCCCCATCCCTTAGCACCAGCCCTGGGCGGGGGGTGTCAGGCTCGTGGGCTGAGCCCTCCCCCACTCCAGACTCGGGCCCCGGGTGCCCTCCACCTGCTGGCTGCTATCACCCGGCTGGAGACCCTCGCCCAGGGACCCCGTGTCTGCCCCACGCCCCTGGCTGAGCTGCAGCACCCAGCCCGGGCCGGCCACACTCAAAATGCCGCAGGAACTTTGCACCATTGCCCATTTTGCCCCCTCGCTCCTCCCCCGACACGACAGCCAGGCTGACCCCTGGCACCTGCCAGCCCCGAGCGTAACCCCGAACCCTGCACTGCTGCCTGGCTCGAGGCCAGCTTTGTAACCAGCACAATGGTTCTTAGTGTGTGGCACTCAGGGGTTTGGTCCTCCTGTCTCAGGCCAGGTGCCAGGGGCTGTACAAACGCTCTGGTCCTGCCCCACAGCCTCGGCGATCCAGGGAGGTCCCCAGATGGGGCCAGCCAGAGAAGACAAGAAAGGAGGTGGTGTGTCAGAGCCCCAGGATCGGGGCCACACCTGGAGCTTTGGAGCAGTCCCTGGGAGGCCCCACTTCTGCCACCAGTTGTCACGGCGTCCCCGGGCGATGCTCTGGAACTGCTCCCCACACAGCCAGTCAGGACTTTGGGGAGCCTCCTCTCCCTCGGAGCAGACTGTCTTCAGGACAAGCAGCTCACACGGCTTCACCTCCTGGGTCTCTCCTGGGAGCATTCAGCATATGCCCCTCCGTGCGCTTCCCACAGCGAGTCTGACCCAGCGGGGTCCTGGGGCAGCCAGAGGGTCCTGCACCCCCACATCGCAGTCAGACGTGACTCTCGGCCAGCCAGTAACACAGAGGTTTATTCGATGACAGGAACACGGTCTAAAACAGAGCTTGTAGGTCCAGCGAACGGGACCCCTCCACCAGGTCCATCAGGGGGTGGGGGGGGTTAGGGAGCCCAGACCCCGGTGCTGGGCCTTCCTCCATTTCCCCAGCCAGCTCCAA